CTACCTATCTATCTATATTATCTATATTATCTATATTATCTACCTATCTATCTATCTCTCTATCTATCTATCTATCTACCTACCTACCTACCTACCTACCTACCTACCTACCTACCTACCTGTCTACCTACCTGTCTATCTATCTGTCTATCTATCTATCTATCTATCTATCTATCTTTCTGTCTATCTATCTACCTATCTATGCATGCATACATACATTCATACATAGATGCATACCTTCCCGTCGAGATAGTACCTAATGCGGTCATGGCTCCTGCATTTCGCTGCAAGAGATCAAGCCAGTCTCCGCGAGCTTTGCGCAGGGGGCTTGCAGCGCACGGTCGTATCCTCTGCATGCAACGGTAGGGTTCAGGGGCTCAGGGGTTTAGGGGTTTAGAGGTTAATGGTTTAGGGGTTTAGGGGTTAAGGGTTTAGGGGTTTAGGGGTTTAGGGGTTTAGGGGTTTAGGTTTAGGGGTTTAGGGGTTTAGGGGTTCAGGGGTTAACGGGTCAGGGGTCTCCCTGAAGGTTCATGAGCAGCTATAACCGAAGCTGTGAGTCCTTTCATCTTGGTTAAGGCTTCAAGGCTTCAGGGGTCTAGGGCTTCGGGGCTCTCAGGGCTCAGGGATTAAAAGGTTTAGGGCTGTGGGCCTGATAGAACTGAAAAGCCCCATCACAGCACCAACTCAAAATCTATGAAAACACGCTGAAAACCCATATAGGACCCCTTTCAACCCCCAGAAAAACCCAGAAAAAACCCGCATAAAACCCCTAAACCCTAAACCCTAATACCCTAAACCCTCTAAAACCCCAGGGTTGAGCGCTGCAGTAGCCCCCAAGGAGCTGAGGCTCCGGCTGCCCCGGGTTTCGAAGCAGGGCTCCATCTTGACCTAGTTAGGGTTTAGGGTCTTGGGTTTAGGGTTTAGGGTTTAGGGTTTAGGGTCTTGGGTTTAGGGTTTAGGGTTTGGGGTTTAGGTCTAGGGTCTATAGGGGTTTAGGGTTTAGGGTCTAGGTCTTAGAAACAGAACGGCTTTGCTTTGGGTGTTCTTCCTATATGTAAATGTATCAAAGTAAAAGCTAGAAAGTTGGAACACCATTCTCCTGGCACCCTTACAAGGTCAAATAGAAGGGATCCTAGCACTAATCATCCTAAATCCATGTTCCAACTTTCGAAACCCTAAACCCTAAACCCCAACGCTACAAGCCTAAGACACGTCGAGAGTGCTGTGCAGGGTTCAGGGTTTCAGGTCTTGGCCCTACGATCTCAATCTGGGCCCTTGAAAGCCTCTGAAATATAGTAGGGTTTAGGGCAGTTTAGGCTTTAGGGCAGCTTAGGGCTTACGGCAGTTTAGGTAGTAAAGTAGGTTAGATCCTCTTACGTCCAACAAGCGAAAATGTATAAAATATACTCAAGGCCTGCCAAGTGACCATGCAAAGGACGCGGTCCAGGAGGTCCTTGGATTGGGGTTAGTTTAGTGTTTAGGGCTTCAGGGGTGTTGGGGGCTTAGTTCGTGTTCATGGGCTTTTGGGCTTAGGGATTTAGGGTACGTCCTCAAACCATTCGAAGCAGATTGTAACTTTTGGAGTTCTGGCGGTGAATTTTCTTGGCCCCAAAGGCCTAAGTCCCTTATCGAATCTCTGTAGGAACCCAGTAAGAGGAATCCTAAGTCAAGGCGCAATCCCCAAACCCTAAACTCCTAAACCTCAAACCCTAAACCTCTAAACCCCTAAACCTCAAACCACCCCTAAAACTCTGAACCCCTAATGTCCAAAAACCTACACCTCTAAACCCCTGAAGTCCAAAAACCTAAACCTCTAAACCCCTAAAGTCCCAAACCCTAAACCTCTAAACCCCTAAAGTCCCAAACCCTAAACCTCCAAACCCCCTAAACCTCAAACCCTAAACCCCTAAAGTCCCAAACCCCCTAACCTAGGGCCCCCCAAAAGCACATAGGCACAACTTCGGATAGGGACATCCCATATAAAACCCCTTATAATGAAGCCCAGTACGGTAGGGATATCCCTATAAAATGCTTATGCTTATGTCCTCTTTGGGTTCCTAATAACCCCAAATCCCCAACCCTACCGTCAACAGACGCCCTAAGCCAAGGCGCGAGGACGGCAAGGACCGCCTTGCCGCTGTTGCTCCTGGGCTTTTGTTAGGGTCCAGGGTTTAGGGTTTAGGGTTTCAGAGTTTAGGGTTCAGGGTTCAAGGTTTAGGGTTTAGGGTTCAGGGTTTAGGGTTTAGGGTTCAGGGTTCAAGGTTTAGG